TCAACTATCCAAGCTCTTAGTGCCATACAAAAGGGAATCTATGACGCGTATGACTCTAACAACCATGTAGCCGTACTCAGTCTGGATCTGAAAAGTGCGTTCGATTCCCTGTGGTGGCCAGCAATCCTGGAAGCACTTCACGACGCTCAGATCCCTGATAATCTACTGCAGGTGTGCAAAAGTTATCTCTCTGATCGCACTCTTGTAGCAGTGCATGACGGAGGAGTTGTTGAGAGAAAGCAGACCAGGGGCTGCCCTCAGGGTTCATGTGCAGGTCCTGACCTATGGAATGCAACTTTTAATTCCATTCTCAAAGCACTGTGGCCAACCCACACAAAGGTGATTGCTTTTGCTGATGATGCGACATTTATCATCAGAGGCAAATCGAGAGACCAGCTGGAAAGTAACAGTAATGAGACCATAGCAACAATTTGTACGGCTCTGTGAAGGCAAGAAACTCACCATCTCGGAGCAAAAGTCAAAGTCAAAGTATTTGATCGTACACAAACCAGGTCAAACTCTTGCAAGAAATCCAGTTTTGAAACTAAAGGGCCGTACAATCAAACGAACTCGGGAACTAAAACTGCTGGGGCTTATAATCGATGAAAAGCTCTCCTGGCTGCCTCATCTCAGAGCAGTCCGCGCGAGGACACACGCAATTGCAAATACCTTAAAGAGGCTTCAAGGCTCAGACTGGGGCCTTAGACCACATATCCTAAAAATCCTCTATCAGTCCGTCGTGGAAAAAAAATGGCCCTCTATGGAGCGGCAATCTGGGCAACTCCAATGAACGAAAGGAAAAGGAAATTGCTTCAGTAGTATACAACGCCCCTTGGCTCTGGCTATTACAAAAAGGATACCGTACAACATCGACAGCGGCAGCCACAATACTGGCGGGACTTTTGCCATTACATATTAGAGCAGCACAAGAAGCAGCAGCAGTAACGACTGTTCTCCAATTACATCTCTGCACTACTTTTGGACCGCTATGCTATGATCCAGAGGAGTATGAAACAAAACGTCTCATAAATGCAACCATCCTTCACACCATGGAAAAGGGGTTGTAGCACACACCACCTCTCAGCACAGCCTCCATGAAAAAAAATAAGGCCAGTAAATGTCATCCATTCGTCTAACTACGGAAAAGGAGTCTCGGCCCACACATCATGGAAAGATGACTCTGACATAAAGGATCAATATTATGTTTATACGGATGGTTCAAAAGTTGACGGACAAGTAGGCTGTGGCCTTATAGTAACTAAGAACAAGGAAACGCTGATAACATGGAAAGGTCATATGGGACAGAATAATTCAGTTTTCCAGGCTGAAGCAATTGCGATTCGTAAAGCTATCGAGTTAACAAGCCCCCCCAGTAGGATCCACTGTTAATATTCTTACAGACAGCCTCTCGGTCATATATGCCTTACGAAATCCCAGACATCCTTCTCCTATCATAGCGGAGATTCAGGACACGCTGAAGGAGCGTTCGTCGACAATGAATATCCTCATATCTTGGATAAAGGCACATGCCGGCATTCAAGGTAATGAGGAAGCCGACAGGCTAGCAAAAGAAGCAGCTCACAATATAGATGCACAATGCGTAATTACCAAACTCCCGTGGTCTCACCTTAAAAAAGTGACAAGGACAGCAGCTCAGCACCAGTGGCAATGGGAATGGGACTCTACCGAACAAAGCAGGAAGACCTATGAATATTACCATAAAGTTTCGCTCGATCGTCTCGAGTCATCCCCACAAATAACGAGATTTGTGACGGGGCACGGGCCTTTCCCCTCCTATTACTATGAGAGAGGAATTGCAAATACCGAAAGTTGTGTCTGTGGAGGCATTGGTAACCAGACCCATTACTTGACCCAATGCCCTCTAACCGCACAGTGGCATGTGCAGCTTCCGGAACAGGCAACTTCTCATAAGCGTTATCTGATCAAACAGCCAGCATTTCGCATCAAAATATGCAAGATAATGCAGAAACTGACTGGAGGATTGGGAACAGAATTTGTGCAGTGTGTGGAGTAGTTCCCTGTCAATCTCTCTTCTCTATCTTTCTCTCTATCTTTTATCTTTTTTTTAAATTATATTATTATTATTATTATTAATTTTTATTGTATATATTATGAAACATGTATGTATTACGGCCCACTGTATATATTATGAAACATGTATGTACTATGACCAATGAAAATTATTATGTAACAAGCTCAATATATTATGAACTATGTAAGCATGTATATGTATGAACTACGTATGTAAGCATGTATATGTATGAACTACGTATGTAAGCATGTATATGTATGAACTATGTAAGCAAGTATTATGAAAGATCTATGTATTCTGAACTACTTGTATATAAGCATGTACTATGAACTATGTAACTATGTAAACATATATTATGAACTATGTAACTATGTAAGCATGTATACAGGACCAATGTATGCCCTTATAGGCCCCATGAGGTGTTGCCCCGAATAGTTGCGGAACCTGGACTAGACCCGAATAGTCTTAGTAAGCCGCACGGGTGTCCAGATTCTGCTCTCAACTCAACTCAACTCAACTCCCTCTAATTCAATTCGAGCCAAGGGTAAACACAAGGAATGTAAATCTAGCGGCTGCTTAACCCACACTGTCTCTCCTAGAAGCATCTGATGTGTTACTTGGTCCCATCCGATCAGATCGACAGTGGAGCCAGTATCTCGGAGTACAGGCATTTCTCGATTATTTACTCTTGCTATACTCATATAGGGAGCTAGCCATGTATCTGGAGATCCTGAAGTGCCTAGTTTGTTTACAGCTTCAGCGGCCTCTTGTCTTTTTAACCGAGGACACTGAGGTCGGAGATGACTATCTGAATTACATTCATAACATCTAGGTATTCTCCGTTTTTCGAAAACACTTGACTTCCATTTCTCCGCAGTTTTTTCTTTCGAAACATTATCATGGCGACGTACTCGATCGGAAAATTCTCCTTTTTTCCTTTCTTTGATATTTGATTCCTGTTCGGTATTTTTAGTAAAACCTGTTGGTTTTTTGCGGACTTTCGTACTGCTTCATATTCGTCTAATTTCTTCACTAGTTCGGCAGAACATATTATACTCGGCCACTCATCCACGAAGTGTTCGCGAATTTCGCTGTTTACTCGACGTTTAATTTGATCCGTCAACATTAAGTCTTTTAGCGCATCGAAATCTCGTACGTCTACTGCGTTTAACCATTCATCTAGATAGTTTTTTAACTCAAAAGCAAAGTCTTTATATAAACTACCCGCACGACCGCTGGTGTTGAACAAATTTAACCGCGAAAACGCCTCTGGGTTCAACTTGAAACCGCTGCAAAAGAATTTTCTTTACGTAGGAGTAATTATCTAGCTCCTGTTCCGGCTCTCGTAGAATAATAGAAACAATGTCCATTGGCAATAAGAGCCATCAAATGTGACACCCAGTCTCCTTCCTGTACCTTCGCTTTTGCGAGCCTGACGCTCAAACATCGCTAAGTAAAGCGAAATATCCGATGATTAGGGATTATGTCTCTGCATTAAATTTTGCAAATCTCTCATAGATCTCGGAATATTATTTTGAGAATTTTCTCTGCCATTATTGGCGTTTGTCAACCTTAGACGTTCTAATTCAAATTCTCTCTCCCTTTCCCTTTCAAGTTTACGCTTTTCGGCTTCTTCGAGTCTATGTTGTTCGATTCGCGCTTCGATAATCGACTCTAGTGTTGCCTCGACGAATTTTTCGTCATACTGAGGGCTCTGTACAATGAGGTTTTTAAGATCTTGTATTTTTGCATTTGGGGAAAATTCTAGACCTTATTCTACGGACAGATTTATGAGGTCTTGCTTTCTACCCTTGCCAAGATATGACATTTTGCCAGTGACAAAATTTTAAAATGATACAATAAAATAAAACTAAAGGTACCAGTTTATCTACTCTGAAAGTTTCACACTATTCAGAAACACTACAGTAAAACAACATCAAAAACAAGAGTTGCCCCTCTGAAAGTGCAATCATTACCTCGATTAGAGTTATGCGCCGCAGTTTTGTTAGTGAATTTGCTTAAATCAGTGTTAGAACATTTAGACTTTCCTATACGTAAAGTTTTGGCCTGGACAGATTCAACTGTTGTACTGTCCTGGGTTTCTGCAGAACCATACCGTTGGGTTCCCTTTGTTTGCAAACCGCGTTGCTAAAAATTCAGAATACAATTCCTAATGTAAGGTGGAACCATATCAATGGAAAGCGGAACCCAGCTGATTCAGGTACAAGAGGAATGTTTCCAGCAGAATTTCTGAAGTGTGAACGATGGTTCATTGGACCTACTTGGTTATATTCACAAGATTTCGAACCATGTCCTGACAGTGAACATCTTGCTGATGTAGATTATGAAGGAGTTCGTAGAGAAGAAGAAAGAAAAACTTGCATTTCAGTATCTTGTGCGGTAAAGGAAAATGACATTTTTAAACGGTATTCATCTTGGACAAAATTACGTCGTATAGTTGCATTATGCCTAAGATTTATTTACAACTGTCGAAACTTCTCCGAAAATCGTTTGAGAGGTTTTCTGACAACCGATGAGCTTCGATTAGCTACAAAAACAGTGATAAAAAATGTCCAAGAATACATATTTTCCTCAAGAGCTCTCTTATTTAAAAACATCGAGAGAATTAAAAGGGTGTGAGCAGCCGAGTAATACAATTAACTCCCTTCCTTGATGAAGAAGGCGTCATTCGAGTAGGTGGTCGCTTAAAAAATGCAAACATTCCTGAAAATAGCAAACATCCTATTTTGCTTCCAAAGGAAGGACATGTCACTAATCTCATCGTAACTCATTACCATGTCAATTATTTGCATGCTAGTCAAGAGTATTATTAATAAGCACTTTACGAATGCAGTTTTGGATTCTTTCGGTGAGAAGCGTAGTGAGAAAGATTATTCACAGATGTATTCCTTGTATTAGAAATCGAGGCAAGACTGTGACCCAGATAATGGGTGATTTACCCTCGCCCAGAGTTCAACCATTAAGACCTTTTGCAGTCACCGGTGTTAATTATGCTGGTCCATATTCTATTAAGTCCCAAGTTGGGAGAAGAACAAAAACTTTCAAGTGTTACGCATCCATTTTTGTGTGTTTCTCAACAAAAGCTGTACACTTGGAGTTAGTCAGTGATCTATCAACTTCAACGTTTTTAGCAGCTCTAAAAAGATTTATCGCCCGACGAGGCAAACCATCTAAAATTTCGAGTGACTGTGCTACTAACTTCAAAGGTGCTAGTAAGGAACTGAAGGAGATTTATAAAAATGCAGCTCGCATTGAGAAAAGCAGTGAATTATGTGACTACATTACCTCAGAAGGTATAACTTGGTTATTTAATCCTCCGACATCTCCTCACTACGGTGGCTTGTGGGAATCTAATGTGAAATCCATGAAATTTCATCTTAAACGAGTATTAGGATCCACACTTCTAACTTACGAGGAATTTTTAACAGTGCTTACACAAGTGGAAACGTGTATGAATTCCCGTCCTCTTTGTGCGATGTCTAGTGATCCAAACGACTTTAGTGCATTGACTCCAGGTCATTTTCTGATTGGAGCCCCTTTGCTTGCCATTCCGGAATCTGACTTGAGTGATGTGAAATCTTCACGACTTGCTCAAACGTTGGTCTCTAGTTCAACAGACTGTGCAACATTTTTGGAAACGATGGTGTGCAGAATATTTAACAACACTTCAACAACGTGCTAAGTGGTTTCGTGCGTCTCCAAATCTAAAATGTGGTGATTTAGTTCTGATCAAAAACGAACAACTCTCTCCAAACCAATGGAAAATTGGAAGAATTGCCTTAATTCATCCAGGTAGTGATAAAAAAGTTCGAGTGGCTACAATCCATACAGCCGCTGGTGATTTCAAACGAGCTGTTACTAAATTCTGTCTTATCCCCAATCATGACTAATATGAACTATGAACTATTGATTTTTTTCATATTACTGAACTTTAATTTTAGTTATATTTTCAATTAATTTTTTTTGTTTGTTAATGTTATTATGTATGCTTTAACTATTTGTCTTTTTTGAACCCTTAGAAGGCTTCAAGGCCGGGGGCTATGTTTAGTATTTTTTTCTTTACCAAACGATTTACTAGTGTGTCTTTGCAACATTAGATGGCGTTGCCGCCTGATGATTCAATTCTGGTTGCTATGGTAACGAACTTTCAACTCATAATTTATGTGATTTGTATTCTTTTCTTTTTTGTTTTTTATTAATTGCTACTGTGCTTGGAGTGATGTGAGCTGTGTCGTCACGTGGGCGGCATTCCTTCTATTTCAAAGAGTTATGTAAAATAAACAAGTGATATATTACACTCCGCTTTGTTTTTGTGAACTTATTCATAATAAAGGAGTTAATTTAATAAAACTGCAACGCCTTAAATTCATAAATGCATGTTTATTTAATTCTCGTTAAAACATGCCGGGAACCGAGAAAATCAGAGAAGATTCGACTCGTCCGTTAAAAAAAAGATACGCTCTGTATTTCTCATCAGCAAGGCTGCACGCGTGGTGCTGTGGTGACAAATTAAAATCAACTTACTGCAAAACAACATTAATGGAGCTATTGGAGAGAATATCACGGATGTCCTACTAGTTGAACTAACAGAGTGCGAAGGCTTAGCAATCTCACTCACCGATTTGATGACAGCAGGGCAACTGTTCTCACTTAGAAGCATTTTACCAAAGCAAAGTTATTACAAGGAAAACGAGCAGGGAATTTATTTTGGTGGAAAAAGATAAAAAAATTTCAATATATCTCTCACTGCGTGGACCTTTAATAAATAAATTCATCTGCACGGGTTAGTCTTAGTTTATTCTAAAAGGTAGAATGGTAGACTGCACTTAAGTGGCTCATATGTAACGGCTAAAGCTAAAAACTAAGAATATTATTAAAAAACGCAATTATAAATTTGTGTACTTACCCTATAATATTCCAAGATGTCAAGTGTTAAATGGTGTCCTTCTTCCGAGAAAATGCAGAGACTTGATAGCAGTTCGAATAACTGCTTCTTTACTAAAGGGTTTTGAGAGCACAGAACTGAAAAGATATATATGTACTTTCTAAACAGGTAGTATAAAACAGAATTTTACTCAAAGACACACAAAAAAGTCCTCATGAGCAAGCAATTTTAAATGCTGAATAATAAAGACATACGACCCTCATTAAGGATATGGTCATTAACACCACATGAAACTCAACGAATCTCTGATATTGCTCTCGAGAAAAACATTCATTGAATATTATGGGAAGAGCTTGACATATTATGGAATTTAGAGCCAACAGGTGCGCCATTATAAGATCGCGTTTCCGCGTTTCATCCTTAAATATCCGAAGTCGGTAAGAACATTTCCACATCCCAAACAAGAAATTTCTGGGTTCAAATACTAACCGGGAGTCTAGGTCTTTATCATTTTATGCGAAATTAACAAGGAATTATCGCTGATTTGTTAGATGGCTGTAGTAGCGTTTGAGCCTTTGACTAACTGTGAACTTAACACTATTCCTTTCCAAAACAGTGCGTAATATCTAAGCATCATTTTTTTACTTCAAAAATATATCGACATAGCTTTACAATATTGCAAATAATAAATGCATTATTTTAAAACGGCATTAACTTTAACTCCTAATTTTTTTATTCGGATTTCAATTTAGACTTTATTAAATAATTTGCAAAAATGCTACAGTTCTCTAAAGTCGGAAAATTTTACGCATAGATTTTCACCTTAAAAATAACTTAATAAATAACTTTACTAGTTGACACAGCTAAACCGAACTTTGAGTCAATCCAAGCTTTTTGAGAAAAATATATGTTTGTGTGTACTAATTTATCATCGCAGGGTGTAAATAAATTTAATTGCCTATTCAGTGGGCAATGTGAAACAAAATCTAAACTTTCCGCTGCGATAATTTGTCGAAATAACAACCAGTCTCATAATTGACTTTTTATTCGTTCATCGCAGGTTAGTTAAATGTAACACAAACGGGAGAATCTCCAAAATAAAAAGTGCTAAAACAGATTTTAAGAATAACTCAAAGTTCTGAATTACGATATTCTGTAAATGTTGCAAAATGCCATTTTATGAAGGAGGAATTTTTTCTATTATTTATTTGAGAAACCGTGCAGAATTAACTATATTTATCGACATCAGTTTCAAGAATTCTTTTGCTGCTATTTGAAGTTTTAAAAACAGTTTTCTAAAACTGAAAATATTGTGATATGCTTCAACGGTTTTAACACTAAATCTTAATTTGTTGAAACGTGAAATGCGCAAATTTTTTGGAACATGCATCAGTTACAAATATGTACCTTTATATATCAGCAGTTTTAACTTAACTGATACAGTGTATGTATATTTAATAGAGATCAAATTGCAGGATCTCCCAATTAGTTGTCAAAATCCTCTATGCAGATGTCTAGGTTTTATCTAATTTTTGATGGTTTATTAGGTTATATATATGGGCAATGAATAGAAATACCGTTTACTTTATAAAAATAAAACTTCTATTCTTACTTTGTTTTAAATGTGTGTGTGTGGGGGGGAGCTTATGTTTAGAAAAATTTTACTAGCAAATCATTTTTCAAATCATGTATAATCTCTGGTTTAATTGACTTGGTTTGGTTGCTAAATTATAAAAAATGAGCTAACATATTTGAGTTTCCTTGTTATTTACATAAAAAAATTTTTTACAGACTGTATTATCGTCCAGTTTTTGCTCTCCTGAAATATTTCCATGACAGTTTTTTGCCCTTCCACCATTGTCTGTGTTGCTCATCCCGAGATGAAAGCTATAATTCCTCTGTGCAATCCATACAGAATAAAGAATACAGATCGAGTCGTTATGCGTGTTTTATGTGTGTCGTTATGTGTGTAGACGTAAAAACTTGTAAAGACATTAGGTAATATTTTGGAAGCAGGCAAGATGAAAAATGAGCAATCGCCTTCGTCGGGAATCTAACCACGGACCTCTGGCATACGGGGCCAGCGTGCAGAACCACTACAACACGAAGGCCCGGTAAGAAGGTGGGAGAAATACCTTATAAACTAACAGAGCAAAATCCTCGAAAAAGGTCGACATATTTCAGCTATTTACATTCGCGTTGACAATTATTTCTTGCATCTATAAGCAGCTTCTAATTAAAAATATTTCTGTACACAGTAGACAGAGCCAAATAATCGAACGGACTCACAATCTCAAAAACCTCAACGAGTCTAACTCATGTCAAACTTTTTATGTCAAAATAAATCTAAAATAAATCTGAAAATAAAGAAATCATCATTATATCTTCCATTTTCTATATTATTATTGGATATCATTTTTAATATATTTTTTAAGAAAATAGTTGTCTTCTATATCAGCGGTTCTCAACCTTTTGACTAACAGGAGCCATCTAAACAAAAATTGAAAAAGTTTAGAACCACCATTACATTTTACAATGATGATTTTTCAATTTTTCAATAGAAATATTAAACAAAATATATTTAGTGCGAAATTTGGGCCTGTTAAAGAGAAATCAATTTCTTCATGTCTGCTCTTATTTCACTTAGTTTTAAGCGTGAATTAGAATCTATATTTAATTTTGTTCTGTGCTTATTTTTCAAATATAGCATGGAAGAAAATCCTTTTTACACAAATAGGTTGTGTAAAAAGGCAATAAAACTTCCACGGACGACTTCCACGGAGACTGTTTTAAGGCATCTAGCCAGAAGTAGCAGCCAGGGTCGTTGTATTTCTGATTCGCTGATGTCGTTGTATTTCTGATAATTTATTTCTGATTCGCTGCAGCTACGCAGCCCTTGAACCCGAAGCCCCAACACTATATAATATAATGCGAGCAATAATTGCTTTGTAAATTACTCTAATAATGTTACCTTTTAATACTAATGATTAAGCTGAGAGATTTCTTTTATAATGTTGCGTGCGTACGCGTTCTTTATGAATTGAATGCACAAGTCCGATGAAAAATTAACAATATTTATTATTATCACAACACATAAAACAAAATGCCTAAATTTCCTCAGATATTCGTACAGAATTACAATATCTCACAGTAGTTATCTTTTAACTTCTCAAACGTTCAACAGAACTTAATTCAAAACAGCTAGAGAAAGCTAATCCGCAAATTTGCTACAGTCAACAAGAGCAGTTTCCTAAACAAACTCTTAAAACAATAGGTAACTAATTGAATTGAGAGGTTTTCATCCTTTTTGTCAGCTTGTAGAGTTTGTATTTATTTTAACTAACATTTATTTTAAGTTTAAGCTATCTTTCCTGTCAAGCCTTTACTTTCCCCTAGAATTGCCAATGCTAGAGTATGTAAATTGTAGTAGAGCGCGCAGTATATTCAAATTTAGCAGAAGTAAGTTGAGTTTAAATAGAAGGGAAACGAGATTGTAAGAGTGCTTCTTGACTCGCGAACGTGAAGGTTGCTAGGTAGAAATTTCAGAACCGCGCGTTTCGGACTGTGTGCCTATCTCGGCAGTTTTTGCTGATTCCTTCAACTGCTTAATCAGTAAGCTCGCTGAATCTCAGCTGTATTATAGAACGCGGTTAGGTTAGTTAAGATTTCAGAGCCTCGTAGGTAGTGATATAGTTATTTATTCATCCAGTCATTATTTTTTAGTTTCACATTTCTGTTTCTGTTAAACCACCGGGTCGGCGTAGTTTGTGAGCGTCAAAGTGAACGCAGCTGTTATTTTTAAAGTGGAATAAAACGGGCTTTAAACCCTTCTTACGTGTTTGTGTAAATTTACATTTCATAGCAGTCACTACCACAGTTGCTGACAAGTTGAGGCCTACCACACAAGAAGGTACCACATTGGCTCCCGAACATCTTACGAACTCAGATGGCCGATAACTGGATGGAAGCTCCTGTACAACTCCAACAGCAAGAAATGGCGAACCAGTTAGAAGGGTTTGAATACCTGGTCCAAACGACGAGAGCATCTATCAAGCCAACCGTCAATTTCGACGGAAAAAATTCGGTGGCGATATTCTTAGAAAGCCTCGAAAATCACTTCCAGTTATACCCTGTTCCTGAAAGACAAAAAAGTTGCCAATGCCACGTCTGCACTAAGAGGACAGGCCTCACTATTGGTGGAAGAGTATAGGGAAATTTTATTAGGAGAATTCGGAGGCCAAACATATACCTTTGAAAATTTTAAAATCATCATTATTAAATGCCTTCCCCATAGTGAAAGACCGAGCAAAGCTAGAAACCGAACTTTATAGTTTTTATCAACGTAATATGGAAGATTTGACGGACTTAATTCTGCGAAAAGTTAAGCTGACAGACATGCTGTATGGAAAGAAACCCGACACAGAAGTAACTGAAATAATTTTACCAAGATTGCTACCAGCTGTCCAAGATTACTTGGAAATCCGAAATCCAAGCACCTTGTAGGAACTCTTCGAGTTGGCGGTCATGTTCCAAAACCGTCGAATAGCGAAAAAATCTAGAGGGGCATCGTATTCTCAAGGTCCCCAAAGGCAATTCTCAAATCAACAGATCGATAACACAAATCGCTCTTACGCGGCCAACTCTATCTTTCGCTCTATCAAGCCAACTCATCGAAGCTCGAAGGTCAAGGCGCAAAAAGGAAATTCGAAAACAAACATACGCGTACCCAGAAGGCAGAAGTTGAAAGGAAAACGAGTAGAGGGGCCTGTGAAAGTGAGGGTCCAGACTCCGGAAGTTTTAAAAAAACCCTCAAAAAGACACTTAAATACGGTCATCGTAAAGAACTCACATCTACCAATTATACAAGTCCTGGTTGGCGATGTACCAGTGGAAGCCCTCATTGATACAGGGGCAGAAGGTAATTTTATGAATGATAAATTTTTCAAGAAGAATTTTAATAGGTTACGGTTATTTAAAAATAAAAACACAGAAATTATAGCAGCCCAAGGAAAAACCTGTCAATGCATCGGGAAATTATCATTAAAAATACAGGTGACAGGTGACGGAGGATGGGGATGCCTGGCGTATAACATAGGTAAACAGGCATATGTCCCACGTCCTCCACTATCTCGAAGAAGCAACTCGCTGGAGCCCCGTAAGGCTGCACCGGGAGTTTACATGGCCATACAGGGGCTAGATGTCAAGTAGTTTTTACATAGGACGTTGTTAATAACACAAAGTAACTTAAAAAGAATATAAAGGATAGCATTAAAACACTAAAACACTCCTATAAGCTGAAACACATAGATATATACAAAATTAGACGTAAAAGCCTAAAAACACACACGAGAATGCATATCATGACACATAGAATACATATGGAAACACGTAGAGTACAATAATGCAAAGCAATGCATTAAAAATACAGATAAAAGATGAGAATCTTAAAGTATTAATTTTTGTATTGAAAAATTTACAGCATCGAGTCATCTTAGGCACGGAGTTCTTAAAGGCCGCTAAAGCCAAGCTCAATTTTCTGGATAATTCGATCATGCTGGAAATGGATCGGAGGGTGGTGGAGCCAGTGAAAGAACCTCAGGTAGACTTGAGCCATTTCAGTGTCCATGAAAGCCAAGCCATCCAGCAAGTGGTGAGTACTTTTTTCAAACTTGTTTTCAGAACGGCCTGGTAACTGTCAAATTGTAACACGATATACAACTAATGCCGATAACCCTGTAGGACTAAACCCTACAGGTAAGATCAACAGAAAGACAAATTATTGAGGAACACATTAAGAAATGATGCAGAAGCCAGATAATAACGACCCATAAATAGTGAGTACGGCGAGTCCAGTCATACTATGTAGGAAAAAAGAACGATTCCCCACCTTCGGATAAAAGGGCTTGGAGGTTTGCTATCGATTACAGAAAAACTCAATATTATTACTAAGTTTCCGGTTTACCCTTTGCCGTGATAGAGGAAAATTATTAGAAAGATTAAGTCTACGAGATACATGACTACGTTGGACTTAACGTCTGGCTACTATCAAATAGCTATGAGACCAGAAGATAAATATAAAACCAGTTTATCACAAAATCGGGCACTTTATGCATTTTTACGCATGCCCTTTGGGTTGTGTGGGGCCCCGTCAACATCCAGAGAGCTATGGACATTGTTCTAAAGCCGGTCCTAGGAAAATCGACTTTAATCTATCTACATGATTATAATTATAACGAGTAGTACGTTGGAGAACATATTAAAGACTTGAAGAGGTTTTAAATTATTAAAAGAGGCCCGTCTTACAATTAACGCATCGAAATGCAAGTTCGCGACAAAAGAACTTAAATATCTGGGTTATAAAATTTCGCAAAAGGGTATAGAAACTCAGGATTCAAAAATAAAAGCCATCAAGATTTCCCCACCTCCCAACACCACCAAGAAAATTCTTCTTTCCTTGGGTTATGTTCTTACTATCAGTCGTTCATAAACGATTTTGCGAACATTGTTGAACCATTGACGTGGACAGCAGAAGCAAATACTGCATTTGAAAGGTTAAAAGAAGCACTCATGAATGCCCCTGTTTTGAGATTCCCGGAAGGAGACAAAAACCTGGAAATTGTAGCAGATGTGTCGGACTATGCCGTAGGTGCGGTTCTCATGCAAAACGGCCATTCTTTGGCATTTTTAGTAAAACTTTAAACTCTACGCAAAGGAATTATACAGCTACAGAGAGAGAAACATTAGCCGTATTAATGGCTGTACAGAAATTTCGAGTTTATTTCGGCAAAGCGCCAGTAGTAACAGTCTTTTCGGATCATGCGGCTGTTGGTAGCTTTACTCGGGGGGAAAAACCATAACGCCCAGGTTAATAAGATGGGCTTTTAAAACTTCAAGAATATAATCTAATAATATTAAATATATACCAGGGAAAGAAATAATGTAGACTGGACGAATAAAACTGGACGATGAAGGGAATGGAACTCAAATGCGCTGTGTGACTTCTAAAAATTTTAGATTCTAGAGGAAACAATTATTGCTGAATTGAAAGCTGATCCTGAATTTGGAAGTATTTATGCTTATTTAAAAGACCCCGAAAGTCGTTGAACATACAGATGTCGCCGCAATAAGAAGTAGAGCACAAGAAAACTCTGAAATAATAGATAATTTATTGTTTTATATACGAAATCAACAAACGAAAACTTCGAGTATCGGACCAGTCATCCCAGCCTCTGCTTCGATTCAGCATTTTGAAAGGAATTACACGACGCGTCAACATCGGGTCACTTAGAGGTCAGAAAGACTATAAGAAGGGTATGCGAGGCGGTATATTTCCCGCAATTATACAAAATAGTAACTGCGTATGTCAGGTTCTGCAATCAATGTCAATTAATAAATGATATTAATTACAGCCGGCCCGGCCGGGTACTTAAATAGCATTGCGCTACATTTCCAAATGAAATTTAGTAGGCATAGATCTTCTTGGTCCTTTTCCCCAGAGTGAGTTAAATAAAAATCTTTTACTTTTAGTAATTGTAGATCATTTTTCAAAGTGGACAGAAATTGTTGCACTTAAACGCGCGTCAGCCAAAACAGTTGCAGATGCATTCTTACACAGGTACACTGCTCAAAAAAAAAAAAAAAAAAAAAAAAAAGGGGACAGTGCTATATCTCCCGTTCTACTGGACCGATTGACAAAATTCAAACTGCGTTTTTCATGTCTCGAAAGCGCGACTTAGGATATATATTAGATTTATATATAGCACTATTCTAACATAGGTATTTTGACACAAAATCGGACTTTTTCTGAAATAACATACCAATTTTTTTTCCATATTTCGATCTACGACTCAAATTATGCCAAATACCAAGTTTTGTAAAAATCGTACGAGTACCCAGTTTTTAAAAAATATTTTAGCTCTCAAAATTTTAGCTCCTCAATGTTAAATGAATTTGGCAAATATAATTAATATCTTTTTGATTTTTCCTCTCCATTCGAAATAGGTCATTCCAAAACATTTACAATTTTTGGTTTTTTTTAAAATTATATTTTAAATTTTATAAATTTTTCGAAAAAAATTTGAATTATAAGTATTATCTGGGCATAAGAATAATATATAACGACACCCACATTCTGGATTCAATTAAACAACGAGGATACGATGTTTATTAAATGAATTAAGAAGTTTTAAAACATAAAAAATCAACTCATTTTTATCCTAAAATGTATTTTTGTGCGTAGCGTATTTTCATTATATCCTTAAAATTCTAATTTAGAATGTAATTGTCAAGAACTGAATCCTAATCATCAGTAATATAATAAGTAATTATTACGGTTATTAATAAATCCTTCTTATAAACTTATAAATAAGTAATTGCAAATATTTCAAAAAACTTTCTGTCTGAATGCAAATATTTTCTATGCAAATATTTTAATTTTATATTAATCAAGATTGCACACGATATTATTTATTTGCACTTCAATTCTTAACCGTCAGTTCTAGTAGAAGTTACAAATCAATTATATTTAATTAAGGATTGGATGGATTGGATTATTTAATTATGGCAAAGCACACGAGGGCTATCTGCCTAAAGGGAGGGATGCCTTCGTGGAGGACTTTCTAAGGGAAACTGGCTCGTATACACGTTACACATGGGGAAAAAAAACCACGAAAACCCATGCGGCCAGCCCGTTCGCGGGATTCGAACCTCGGACCGAACTACCAGTGTTCAGCGTCTTTACCGCTCGGCCGCTGGTGGGGCTATTTAATTAAGGAATGACCATCTAAGTTTAGAAACAGCGTACCGTAACAGCAATTCAATTATTGGCGCCGTATCTTTCATGTTACTCCCGATTGGCAAGCTACATGATTTTTAATGAGTATTCGGGTTTTGCTAGTAACTTCACTTGGAAATCGCGCTTAAACTAGGTTAGTTGGTTATTTGAACATAGAAAGAACATGGGAGCTATTTGATTAAGATGCTTTCATAGAGAACCTTTGTAAAGAGAACCTAGAAAACTACGAAAACCAACCATGCAGCCTGGGTTAGACTTCGCAACAAACAATTAGTATTTAACAATCTTTCAAATGCTAGGCAACTGGTGAGGCTCCAATTAAATCTCCAATTTAATATTTTATTTGTAAATATTTAAAATATTGTTGTATTCTTAGACACAAAAAGCAGAATTTAAGTTTTGTTAACTCGTTAGTAAACTACCAAGCCGTAGTGCAAATGAATATTCAATTTCTTTTGCAATAATTGTATTCACTTAATATTCTTGGAATATGAGCTAAAGAAGGAACGTTCTCGGAAGATTAAAGAAGTGTTTAAATCCAGTGATATTAGGTTTGTCTTACAAGCTCAGGATCAAAACGATTCTGCAATTGCCCGAGTAGTTGACTTGTAAATGGCTGTGAATTAAGCAGATGACTTTTAATCTTACGTTTTCAGTCAGAAAACGTATTCCAAATGTTTTGTATTGCATGACAATGCATCTTTTCATTATTCAATAACCAGTCGGAGAACCGCTTGTGTTCCGAAAATAAGTATGTGTACTCAATCGTCCTGCATGTTCTTCAAATTTGTCTTCTTGTGATTTTTTTTTCTTTCCCAAAAACTAAAGTTGCCTCTCAAAGGAAAGTTTTTTTGACATTGAAGAGACAAAAGGAGTATGACATCTACTTTTAGAGGCATGTCAAAAACAGATCTCTACAAGCCTTCTCTTCCATTACATGTTGTGCAGTCAGACAAAAAGTTGCATCAGCGTAAATTCTATAATCTATTTTTATTACACTCTGATTACTTTATTAACATACAGTGAATATATACTAAATCTTTTACTTCAGCTTAAGTAATTCGGAATTTTTGACGGAATTGTTGTCGGAACTAGGACTTAGAAGATAAGTCAAATTAAATATTTCGAATAAATTCAAGTTCGAAGTTTCAAATTTTATTTTCGGAGGGAGGGGTTTTTCTAAGTATATTTGCTTCGATTCTTTTATTTTTCCATAAAAGCGAAAATTTACGCATGGTATACATATAACGCATAGCTTCAAATTAAAATTTAATAATATACAGAGTGGTTATAATTAAAGTTCCACAATGAAACGGTCATAAAAGGAAAACTGCTGGATCAAATGTTATCAAACTTGGTAATCGTGTGTAAAGGAGGTCATGGGAATTTATTTTCCGCGAAAAAAAGGAAGTTCGAAACCTCACCACCAGGGGGGGGGGGGGAAATGGCGCTGTATGCAATATTGTTAAACGAAATATGGGTCGGAATCTAACTTAACCTTTTGTTACACGGGTTTAATATGTTGCATACCCTTAAGAAACTTTGAAGTAGGGAAATTACCATTTAAAAGCGTTAAATTCGATAAAAGTCGAGTGCGCCATCCGTGTAAGTGAGAGAAATTCGTCCGTGAAAACCACGAATTAGCGATTAGAAAATGTGAGATCGCAAATCACTCGCACAAGTGCGTACAATCTGGAAATCGTTTTCTTACAGATCGCTAATTTGTAATTTTTTGAAGCCTGAATTCGGCACTAAAACATGAAGATACTACTGATTCAAAACGCTTTTAATCGATTTGGGCCAAA